GCTCACACGAGGGACCCAGTGATATCTCTCTCTTTTACGAGAGGTACAAATCCCGTCTTGACTATCTACAATCCAGTACATGATTCGTTTCTTACCTGATACACACCTTTATAGTTCTCCTGTTACGCAGAACGTTTGACGTATTCAAAGCACGCAACTTCTCATGTTGGATTCTATAGATATCTCAGGTCTTAGGATCCAATCATGGAACCGCCATATGAGATTCAAGTCATGACGCTAGTCCATGTGACAATCTCATGCGGGTCAATCCAGTATTCCGTTCTCCAACGAATACCTATGACAGTGATCGTATCCAATACCTATGATCATCTCTATAATCATCATTCACACATCATTCTAGTCTTATTATGTCATCATTCCCATAATCACACAAGACTAGGGAGTTTAGTATCATTCATAATGATACATGGATTTCATAACATATCTAGTATGCAAGAACATGTAATGAATCAAATACTCTCATGAAGACCATAGAAAGTATCAATACATCAAATGTATCTAAATAAAGCTCATAAACAGTACATCATAGAGCAGTAAACCAACACGTATATCATTGTGGGAATAATGATATAATAAGACTAGTATGATGTGTGATTGATGATCATAGAGATGATCATAGGTATTGGATACGATCACAATCATAGGTATTCATTGGAGAACGGAATACCGGATTGACCCGCATGAGATTGTCACATGGACTAGCGTCATGATTTGAATCTCATATGGCGGTTCCATGATTGGATTCTAAGACTTGAGATATCTACGGAATCCAACATGAGGAGTTACGTGCTTTGAATACGTCAAACGTCCTGCGTAACAGGAGGACTATAAAGGCGTGTATCAGGTACAAAAGAATCATGTGCTGGATTGTAGATAGTCAAGACGGGATTTGTACATCTCATAATATAGAGAGATATCGTTGGGCCCCTCGTGTGAGCGAGACTGTAGAAATGTGTGGTCGCACTATAGACGAACGTCGTCTATTTCAGACAGTCGAACTTAGTAAACGAGAAAGCAGTCGAATCAGATAAAGTGGCTTATCCATGGCTTATGTTCGTCACATGATATCGTGATACAAAAGGATCATCAACCGTAATCATCGCTGGCGTTCGTAAGATCACGAACAAACTCTATTTGAGATAGGTAGTCATAGTGTCTTCTTAGAGACCGCCTATGACTTGTATATCCGGAATAGAGATTTCGGGTTATACTGCTATATCGAATGAGCCTACAGGGTCACACACGCAGGGAATGACGAAACGCACGAGAAAACGACACGGAAGGGGCTGGAACAGACAGACCGAAAGGGCCAGACCCGACGGTCCGCCAGGTCCAGACCCGATGGTCCACGTTTAGATGCAGACCGACCGTTCTAAGTGTCGGAACGGACGGTCCGCGTAGACAGCAGACCGTCCGTTCTGGCTTGTATGGAACGGACGGTCCACGTGTATTTCTGGACCGTCCGTTCTGGCTTTCGGGTTTTTCGGAAATTAGACCGAATTAGGGTTAAATCACCTTATAAGAAGGAGATTAAAAGCCTAATCGAAAAAGAGACTTTTTGAGCCGTCTGGTACATAACTTTGAGAGCTTTTGGTGAAATCCAAAGAGTTCTAAGAGTTCCAAGTCTCGTTTTCTCGAAGCGCGATACCGAATAGCAGATTCGGGTCCTAGCAGACAAGTTCCAATTGTTGGAATCCATCCTGAGGTGTGGATACGTGTAGAGGGCGAGGTATTCTTCCTCGCTTTTGTGATCGAACGAGTTCTTCAATTGATACATGCCCCAGATCGATTAAGGTAAGTGTTCTTACTTTTCTACGATTCATAAGAAGCATGTTTTAGGGTTTCATAAATTTTTGTTTTACATCCGCTGCACAAACCCTAGAATCGACACTACAAGAAAATTCTCGTATAGCCACGGAACTTGCGACAGAAAATTCCGTCGCATACAAAATTACGATGGAATACGACGGTTTAGCGACGGAATGCGGGAAAAAATTTTACGTCTCAAAGAGTCGTAAAATCCGTCGAAAATTTGCGACGAAATGCAACGGAGACGTTGCCGTCGCAATAACAAACATTATTTGCGACGGAAATTTTCGTAGCAAATGCTAATTTTAATTATTTTTAATTTAATTTATTTATTTTTCAGAATTAGCCACGGATTTGCGACGGAAATTTCCGTCGCAAATACTAATTTCATTTATTTCATTATTTTTGATGAAAATTTTCAAATTTTCGTGGTTTTTATTTTGTTTTGCGACGGATGGCGACGGGAAATTCCGTCGCAAATACTAATTTCATTTATTTCGTTATTTTCGATGAAAATTTTCAAATTTTCGCGGTTTTTATTTCGTTTTGCGACGGATGGCGACGGTAATTTCCGTCGCAACACGAAATAAAAGCATCGACTTCGTCTCCTTTCTTCAGACTTTGAAGTTTCCCAAAAAAAAGTCTTAATCTTCTCCAATTTTTTTCCAACGTTGTTTTCCTCCAAGATATCT